CAAGGCAACAACGTCCGCACCCTGACCTGGCCCCGGAGCCCGGAGCCCCCGAGGCGGTGGGGGGGGGCGAGAGCCCCCGCAGATTGGGGGCGACCCCGTCCCGAGGCTGCGGGGAGCCGCGCTCCGCCTCGGCTGCTTTGCTCGACGCTGCCCAATTTCCTGGAAACTAGGGCTGCAGGGCGAACAAGGCGCTTCTCAAAGATGGTTCACACACGAGTAGTGTTACCCCACCGGCGGGCGAGAGCCCCCGCAGATTGGGGGCGACCCCGTCCCGAGGCTGCGGGGAGCCGCGCTCTGCCGCCTCGGCTTTGCTCGACGCTGCCCAATTTCCTGGAAACTAGGGCTGCAGGGCGAACAAGGCGCTTCTCAAAGATGGTTCACACACGAGTAGTGTTACCCCACCGGCATTTTTCCCTGACTAGCCGTTACCTTTTTCTGTTACAAATGGTACGAGGCAGCTACAGCAACTACATACTATAGCTCATCCGCACGGACAGCGGAGAGTAGCGATGCCCCCGGCTTTTCCCAAATACATCCAAGTATTTTTTTCAGTGGCCCTTTTCCCTCTCTGAGTAGCCTGTCAACACCCACATCCCTTACGAAGTGTGACAGAGTTAACTACAGCTCCAAACGTTCTTGGTGTTCGTACAGGTATCCCACTATTGCAGCACTGCAGAAAGGTCTCAACCTCAGCAGCTTCCCAAAGAAATGAATTCCAAACCATACTTAGGGCATGTAACAAGAAGTATTTCCTTTTTGAACTTCCAATTCTGTTGCTACCCTTTTGGTTGGATATTATTTTATTGCATCTTATTTTATTCTTTTGCATCCCATTTTACTGCAGTCACTCTCTGTAAGTTTTTCCTCAGTCTGTAAACACCTTCTCTATCCTTCCAGTTCTACGTCTGTGGGAATTCTTTAATGAGGTGATCGGTAAGCACAAGTCATCCCAAATGAAGCTGTACCGCTAATGTAAATTAAGAAGAAAAAAAAAAGCAACATACTTTTTTACATGGTGCTTCATCACGTTCCTCCTGTACTGGTAAGAGCCGATTTTACAAAGATGGTCTTCAACTTTTTAGAGATCATGCCAAAGTGTACATACTGAATTTAGAAAAGTTAAAAAGAAAAAAAAAAGAACTGTAACTTAAGCGTTTTTCCTTCCAGCCTGGATTGTCTGCATTTATCAGAACTGAATGTTGTTAGTCAATCCACTCAGCCTGCTCAGATCTCTTTAAACTTCTCACAGCTCTGTTTTGGTCTTAGCCAACAAATAACTTTCTCCAACATGAGAGCAATTTCTCATCTCTCATCGTTTAACCCTTCTTTAAACTTAAAATATGTTATGGGTATCACTGAACATTAAGGCACTTCATAGTAAATCTCTTACTGAGATACAGAAAAAAAATCAGCCAGCAAATTAATAATATATTCTGGAGAAGCAGGAAAGAAAATAAAAGCAGGAAAGAAAATAAATCTCCAAGATTAGTTTCCAGAGGCTATACCTAAAGTATGGCGCAGATGTGTTTCACTCTGTGCACTCAACATCAACATTTTGCCCTGTGGGGGTGGTTACAGCAATGGAAGCGGAGCAACTGGCAGCACAGAGGGAAACCCATCTGGGCTGCTGCATTGTGGCAAGATATTGCTGCCCGGGTAGAGAATCTGGTTGTACAAGTCGGTCACGTAGATGCTCACGTACCTGAGTCGGGCCACTGAAGAACATCAAAACAACCAGCAGGTGGATCAGGCTGCTAAGACTGAAGTGGCTCAGGTGGATCTGGACTGGCAACAGAAGGGTGAACTATTTATAGCTT